GATTATACCCTAGAATTTAACCCCCAGCATGGATAGAAGCATGAGCCTTTCATCCCTATTCAGATCCCCTGCAGAGTGGCCAGAGCAGCCTAGATTAATCCCAATTATCCAAGTCAGAGGGTAATCACGTGAGCGAATTTATAGACCCCCTAAGGCAGTGGTTCTCAACCTTCCTAATGCCGAGACCCTTTAATACAGTTCCTCATGTTGTGGTGACCCCCAACCATAAAATTATTTTCGTTGCTTCTTCATTACTGTAATGTTGCTACTGTTATGAATCGTAATGTAAATATCTGATATGAAGGATGTATTTAGGTGACCCCTGTGAAAGGGTCGTTCGACCCCCAAAGGGGTTGCGACCCACAGGTTGAGAACCGCTGCCCTAATGGATCTTAGCATTAACTCAGCTGCGGGGCAGCCAGACATTATGTGATGAACAGAAAATGTACACACCACCTATGAAAAATTCTTGCCTAAAATAAATGAACTTGAACCTCACCAAGGCTCTAGATCTTACCACCGGTTTAAAGGAAGCCCGGTGGATAGAAGACGTTAAATGACACCACCAGGAGGGAGTCATCAGCAAGCCCAGAGCGTGGGACAGGCTCACGTTCTATTGCACAAATGGCCTGGTTTCTTTGTAACAATGCATAGAGGGGGAAAGAGGAGGGGTAGGTGAGGACGGCTACACAGTGAAAGGGACTTAACACACAACATCACCCAATGGAACAGTGAACCTTGCTTGGACTCTGATCAGGAAAAAGAGCGAGAAAGGGGGAAGGAAGGAGAGAAGAAAGGAAACTAGGTCTAGGCAACATCTAAGTAATCAGGCAAAATCTGAATATAGGCACTATCTGACGATATTAAGGAATTATTGTTACTAATTATTGTAACTGTTGTTAGGTGTGATTTTAAATAAGAAAAGTCCTTTTCAGTTAGAGAGGTTACTTGACACTGATGAGATAACACAATGTCTAGGATTTGCTTCAGAATACTCCAAGCATAAAAGGGCAGAGAGTTTAGGTTGGGTCATATAAAATTGGCCAAGTGTTGATAACTGTTAAAGCTGGTGACAGGCATGTGAGGGTTCATGATACTTTTGTATATGTTTGAATAAAAGTTTTTGGTTTTTTTTAACGAGCCGATCAAAAATTGGGAGCAAGGGGGCAGAGAGAAAATCGTGATGGTAAGAGCCAGATAAGATGGAAGCACTGAGCTGGGAGTTTAAAGACCAGAACAAGAACTACTACAGCCAAGTCTAAGAGAGTAGAAGCGCCAAGTGCCTGGATTATCCAAAGAAAACTGTCCCAGTGTAAACCCTATACTTTTGAAAAGTCACCACGTTGAGGCATAAGTTCTGTTCCGTGGATGGATCCCCACAAAACCATGGCACGCTGGGTGGCTCACCTGAGAAGGATAGAAGTAACAAATGCCAGCTCTTGTTGGGTCGCCTTCTTCCTTTACCTTTGAACCATCGTAGAGGAAGAAGTAATTCCACCTGGCAAGAGAACAGAGCAGAGCTGTTGCCTTGCATCCGGGATCAGCCGAAGGCACGGCTCCCTGTTTCCCAGCCCGAGGGCTCATTACAGTTCATGACTTGGTCTTTGCAAAGCCTCTCTGGCCCCCGAGGAAGAAGAACCCAGTGGCGACAAATAGATAAAACCATTTCTTAAGTGCAGTTGAGTCGAACTAAAAATAGGCCTCTATCCAGCAGTCAAACCATCTGAGAAAGACAGGAAAGACGAGTGCCCACAGGGACGCCTCTTACTGGAGACATCGAACTGCAACTATGTACTCACATGGTTTGGTAAACTGTCTTTCAAGGCCCTGGCAGCCAAGTAAGTCAGAACGTCTCAGAAGCACTCCGCACAACTGCGGCGCACAACGATCTCCCGAAACAGCCCTTCTAAATGAATCCATAAATCCCTAGAATTCATTTAACAAACATTACTGAGGGCCTAAGTGTGCGCTGGGGCCCCGGCGATAAGAAGGAGAAAATAAACCATGTTTCAATGCAGGGAAAACGGGGGCCTCTTAAAGGTCACAGAGACGCACCGGGCCCCTCTCTGCCTACAAAACCCGACGAGGATGAACTCAAACACGACCCCTCATCAAACTGCGGATGCCCAGAGGAATCCCTCGTCTCAATTTCCATAACCCTCTGTTCTTCCCTAGTCTTATGGTCTGCTCTGCCATATAATTATAATAGCTTCTTTAAGATCGCAAGGCAAACTCTACAAAGGCTTCCTGAGTTTTACTTGCAAACCTCTGCGAGCACACCTATCAGGTGAGAGCCTAAGAAGGAGGAACTGTGTCGCTGTCACCTGTGCTCCCCCCGCCCCCGCCCGTCCCCTCCCTCTCACCCTCTCTGGCTACCACCTGGGCTTGCTGATGACCAGCACAAACCCAGTTTCTAGTCCCGCCCGCCTTCCTGACTTCTAGATGTGCTACTGGCTTCAGGGCAGGTCCCGATCAGAAAGCCCCCAAGTGTTTCAGACTCAACTCAGAAACCCCACTGCTGGGCCCGTCTGCCCTGGCCTATGTCCTGCTCTGAAGAAAAATGGCTTCCCCCCCCCCCCCCCCCCTTAATAAAATCAAGACAGTCTGGCTGGGGATGTTCAGTTAACCCAAAATATCAGCCCAGCAGCCTGGCAGGAACTTAAACCACAGCAGGCCTTGCTACTCACCAGGAGGCTGACTTCCTCTCTGTTGAGGTGGCCATTTACTTTCAGGTCGCACTCATTCTCTTTATTTGGATTTTCTTTTCCAGTTGTGGCTTCTTCCTCCCCAGCAGTGACCGCTCCTCTGTGTCCCGATCCGGAGAGTCCAGATGTGGGAGGTCTGAAGTGTTTTCAGTCACAACTGTCACTTGCTTTGTTTTCATTCAACAGGAAGGTGCCACTTCCCTCTTTGGCAAGCCCTTCAGTTCCATGGGTGCCTCTGAGAACCCTGGGAGAGAAGATAATGAAGCCAGAGAATTCTACCAGAAAAGCCAGCTCCGCTAATCTGGTCCCGTGAGCATCAGCTCTCTGGCTCTCGGCAGAATGACCCCTTCAAAGACCTCGCCAGGAAAGTGCAATAGGGGAGATGCATGCTGACGGACGGCGCTGTTCTGGGGTGATTTCTAGCTTGTGTGCTTCAAAGCCATTCTGAAGACACTTTTAAACTTTTTGAAGCTTCCCGTTCAAACAGCAGTGCCTTAGCCCTAAAATAAACACAAGGAATAGATTATCTCTGAAACCCACAAAAGAGCTAAGCGAATGGTAGACTTCAAAAGAGCTTTCTAGAAAGTTGAAAACAGTTTAAAAAAAGAGAGAGAGAGAGAGAGAGAGAGAGAGAGAGAGAGAGAGGGTAGCAGGACTTCAAACCCTTCAGTTTCTTGAACAGTGACGTCTCATGGAAGAGAAACTTAAATAACTCAGGTGAGGAAGCTCGGGCGTCAAGGAGAGTGTACAAATAAGGCAGTTGCTATAGTAATAATGAGACTCAAATGAAGGAATTGTCACCGTGACAGCTCAAAAGTAACCTGATCATGCAGAAGTCCAGAGCTGGGCAAGTTTCCAAAAGACGCAGTGAGAATTTAACAAGTGGCTTTCAAACTCCTCCCACAGGAGACAACTCGGACTATCAGAGGACTGCAGGGTCTGAACGGGCGGACCCTGGCATCATTTACTCTAATCCTTATCTCTTGCACAGTGGGTCAGCGGGGTAGGAAAAATTACCTCCACTGGCCCTAACCAGGTAGCTCATTTGGTTACAACGTCACCCCGATACACCAAGGTTTTGGATTCAATCTCCAGTCAGGGCACATACAAGAGGCAACCAATGAATGCATGAGTGGGTGGAGCAACCGGTCGATGTTTCTCTCTCTCTCCCTTTCTCTCTCTCTCTCTCTCTAAAAACCAATCAATCAATAAAAAACTACCTGGACTGTCTTTGCTTATTCCTTCCAGGGATAGGGAGTTCACAATGTTAAATGGATCCTTCCACTAAGCTAACCGGGCCTCCCAGGAGCCTCTACACACTGGTCCGCATAACACCCTGCAGGAAAATTAAACGAGGCCTAACCCCTCCACAAGACAGCCCTTGGTCCATCAAAACTGTATCTCCAAGATGAATGTCCTCAGGGACATGGTTTCAAATGCTCGCTCGCCACCTGTCATCCTTCTGGGAGCACAGTGGAGTGTTTTAAAGCTCCTCTGGTAGAAGTCCCTACAGAGGACCCCCCCCCCCCCCCCCATGGTCTGTACAATCTCTTTCCTCAGCTCACAGTATCTTGGGCTGGGCCTGCACAGGTTCCCGCTCATGGTTTCTCTGAAGCGCATCTGGATGCCTGGGGCGAGGCATCTAAGCGCTCGGAACCAAGGACAGCGGCCTGAGACCCTATCCCTGGTTCCCAGGGGACTGGGCCCTCCACTGCCAAGGCCCCCTCTCCTATCTCTGAAAGGTCCAGAAGAGGCCGGAAGTGGCCCCGGGGTGGGGCAGGGGTTGGAATGTGCCCACAGAAGGCTCAGGCAGGAAGTCCAGAGTTGCCCGCTATGACCCGAGGGTGGTGGTGGTGGTGATGGTGTAGGAAGCTGCCTCGGCAGGTCAGCGGGGCAGGAGAGAAGGGCCAGGGAGCGATCGGTTACCGTCCAGGGCCCGGGGAGTGTCTGGCCTCGGTGCCAGGGGGCTGGGAACTGGCTGGCACAGGCTGGGCCGGGCCGGCGCGCAGGGAGGCCGCGATGAGGCGCTCCTGGCCGCGGCCCCTCCTCTCGGCGCCCCCGCGCTGCCCACCCGCCAGAAGGGCCAGGCAGCCCGAAGATCGGGGCTCGAGGTTCGGTATCCGGAGTGCGGGCGGCCGCGGGGCGCCAGCGAACCCCCCGACCTCCCCACCCCCCGTACCTATGCGCGCGGCAGAAAGGCCACAGGATCACGCGCCGCCAGCACCTCCCGCCCCCTACAGGTCCCCGCGGCGCCGGCGCGCGGAGATGACGTAACCCTGGAGCGCCGCGCGCCCGTGACGTCAGAGGACAATGGCGGCGGCGGCGCTGGAGCCCTGGCGGGCCGCGGCTCCGCGGAGAAGGCGCTCAGCGGCTCGGCGTCCGCGGACGAGGCCGGCGGCGGCGGCGGCCGGGGACCCGGAGGCGGATCCCGAGGTGGACGACGGAGTCGTGCTTCGTCGCGTTCGGGAGGCCAGGTGAGTGGCGGGTCCGAACCTTCGCGCCGGTGGGAATCGCTCCGAGCCGCAGTCTCGCCAGGTGTCAAGTGGGAGGAAGAGGCTGTTTGTGAGGGTTTAGCGGAGGCCCAGAGCTCCTCACGGGCCGGATCGCAGTGAGCGCTCTGATGGCAGTCACCGCGGGTCACGTCTGTGCCTCCGTTTGCTCATCTGGGAGGTGGGCGTGAAGAGTTACCTCTAGAGCAGCGGTTCTCAACCTGTGGGTCGCGACCCCTTTGGGGGTCGAACGACCCTTTCACAGGGGTCGCCTAAGACCATCGGAAAACACATCTATAATTACGTATTGTTTTTGTGATTAGTCACTATGCTTTAATTATGTTCAACTTGTAACAATAAAAATACATCCCGCATATCAGATATTTACATGACGATTCATAACAGTAGCAACATTACAGTTATGAAGTAGCAACGAAAATAATTTTATGGTTGGGGGTCACCACAACACGAGGAACTGTATTAAAGGGTCGCGGCATTAGGAAGGTTGAGAACCACTGCTCTAGAGGCTTGTTTTGAGGGTTTGGTGGGTTAGTAAATGGAAGCCGTTTGGAACGGTGCCTCCATACTCGGCGTGGTGAACGCAGCACCAGTGTTTGTGGTGTCACTGTTACGCTGATGGTGGTTATTGTTGGCTGTTGTTGGTTATCGTTGGTTATTGTTGGTTATTGTTGGCTATTATTGGTTATTGTTGGCTATTGTTGGCTATTGTTGGTTATTGTTGGTGTTGCTAATACCTGGGAAGCAACACGAGCACATGATTGTGATTTTCATGATGATCATCATCAGATAATTGAGCTGCTTTGTGCCTGGCACTTGGTTAAGCATTTTATCAATTTGAACATCTCAGCCACCGGGATCTTGGGGGCGGCTGGTCTTACGGAGACCTAGGTAATGCGTGGATCCAAATTGCAACCCCAGGGCTTTGCGACTCCAAACCCTGTGCCTCAGAGCGCCCCACTGTTCTGGTTCCCCCATTCCCCACCCCACGCCTTGCTCTCTACCTCAGGTAGCACTTAGGATAGTGCCCAATGGAGGGAACACTCCGTAAACATCGCCTGCTTCTGTTCTTTTGTATTAATGCCTTTTTTGTTTGTGGTCCTTTACGGGCTCAGTAAATAACAGCTTTCGTTAGCATTGCCTTCGATAACAGCTGCAGGCTCATCACAACTGAAAGAAATTAGACTCGTTTTACCTGCTCCCCTCCCCCAGAATTAGGGTCAGGAGGCGGTGGTGACTCAGAGGTTCCTACTAAAGAGAAGTGGGCTGAGCAGCTATGGAGCCTGAGAGAAAAAGCAGCAGTGCCCCGGCCCCGTGGCTGGGTTGGTGGGAGGGTCATCGTACAGCAGAACGGCTGCAGGTTCAATTCCCAGCCAGGCTCCTAGCTAGGTTGCAGATTGGGTCTACGGGAGGCAGCTGGTCACTGTTTCTCTCCTTCTCTCAAAAAAAAAAAAATCACTAAAAAGTAAATCCTCAGGTAAGGGTTTTGTTTACAAAGCAGCAGTGACTGTTTCTAGGATCTGAGGAAGCGGATGGAATGGGTGTGCCTAGGGGTTTGGAGAAGCTTAAGGCACTTTGCATATACCCTCCTCCTCCTCAGCTTCTTCAATACCCCCCCCCCAGCTCCCTGCCTCCACCTGCCCCCCAGGTACAGTGCACTCCCTCCCCTGATGGAGAGGAGCCCCTCACTAAGCTGTTCCCCTGTGCATGCGAGCTCCCCTTTGCCTTGTGAGGAACACGAGGGCAGTCTCCGGACAGGTGTTTTTTCAATTTTGTCTGTTCTCTGAGCCCCCTGAACAGTGGCTTATGGCTTGTCAGTTCAAATCCAACTCACTGTTTTTAACACTTTTTTCCTTGTGATGAGAACCTTTAAAATCTCCCTTATCAATTTTCCAGTATGCAGTGCAGTATGAACTCCAGTCATGCTGTGCTTACATCTCCATCACATTTATTTTGTAACTGGAAGTTTTTTTTTTTACCTTTTCACCCTCTTCACCCATTTCACACCCACCCCAACCCCCACCATCCTCCTGCCTCTGGCAGCCACCAGTCTGTTCTCTCTCTATGAGCTCAGTGGTTTTTGTATTTGTTTTTTTAGATTCCACATATACGTGAAATCAAACAGTATGATTTTCTCTGTATGACTCACTTACTTAGAACATCCACGTTGTCACAGATGGCAAGATTTTATTCTTTTTTTATGGCCACATTTTTTTTTTTTTTGCCACATCTTGATCCATTTTCCATCAAGGGACACGTATGTAGGTTGTTTTCAGATTTTAGCTGTTGTAAGTAACGCTGCAGTGAGCGTGGGGGTGCAGATGTCTTTTTGAATGAGTGTTTTTGCTTTCTTTGGATAAATACCCAGAAGTGGGATTGCTGGATCGTGTGATAGTTCTATTTTTAATTGTTTGAGAAACCTCCGTAGTGTTGCATATTGTCACTGCACCAGTTTACATTCCCACCAACAGTGCGCACGGGTTCCCTTTCCTCCATATCCTTGCTAACACTAGTTATTTCTTGTCTTATTCTAACAGGTGTGAGGTGGTATCTCATTGTGGTTTTGCTTTGCATTTGACTAATGATGTTGAGCATCTTTTCACGTACCCGTTGGCCATTTGTATGTCATTGGGAAAACGTTCAGATACTCTGTATTTTTGTTAAGTTGTGTGAAGGCTTTATATACAGTGGGGCCTTGACTTAGGAGTGTCCCGACTAAGGAGTTTTTTGAGATACCAGCTGTCTCTCGGCTGATTTTTTGCATTGAGTTGACAGAGTAATTTGAGTTAACGAGCTCCTTAATGAGCTCGGTCTCGGAACGAATTAAACTCATAAGTCAAGGCCCCACTGTATGTTGTATCTTAATAAGTATAATTTGCAACTATCTTCTCCCATTCGTTGCTGCCTTTTTGTTTTGTGGATGGGTTTGTGGTTTTTTTGTTTGTTTTTTGTCGTGCAGAAGCTTTTTAGTTTGATGTAGTCCCATTTGTTAATTTTTTTTTTTTTACTTACTTTGCCTTTGGAGTCAAATTCACAAAAAAGACCTCAGACCAATGTCCAGAAACTGGTGTCAATGTTTTCTTCTATGTATTTTACTTTTTTCGGGTTTTATATTCAAATCTTTAGTTCATTTTGAGTTCATTTTTGTGTATGGTGTAAGATAGTGGCCTAGTTTCATTTTTTTGCATATGGTTGTCCAGTTTTATCATCAGCATTTATTGAAAAGACTTTCTTCATTGTATAATCTTGGCTCCTTTGTGATAAATTAGTGCCCATATGTGGGTGGGTTTATTTCTAGGCTCTCAATTCTGTTCCATTCGTCTATGTGTTTATTTTTCTGCCAATACCATACTGTTTTGATTATCTAGCTTTGTAGTATAGTTTCAGATCGGGGAGTGTGATACCTTCGGCTTTGTATCTTTTTCTCAGGATTGCTTTGTCTTTTTGGTTTCTTTTGTGGCTCCGTGCAAATTTAAGGATTATTTATTTTATTTCTGTGAAAAATGCCATTGGAATTTTGATGGGATTAGTTTGAATCTGTAGATTGCCTTTGGTAATATAGACATTTTAACAATGTTAATTCTTCCAATCTGTGAACATGCAATACCTTTCCATCTCTCTGCATCTTCAGTTTCTTTCCACAGTGTCTTACAGTTTTCAGTGTACAGGTCCTTTACCTTTGTTTATTTCTTGCTACTTTATTCTTTTTGTTGTGATTACAAGTGGAATTGTTTTCTTTGTTTTTCTTTCTGATATGTCATTGTTAGTATATAGAAACTAACAGATTTTTGCATATTTTTGTATCCTGCAACTTTACTGAATTCGTTTATTAGTTTTTTGGTGGCGTCTTTAGGATTTTATATATAAATATCATGTCGTCTGCAAATAGTGATAGTTTTAATTCCTCCTTTCCAATTTGGATGTCTTTTATTTTTATTTTTTTTCTTGCCTAATTGCTAAGACTTTCAGTACTGTGTTGAAAAACATTGGGCATCCTTGCCTTATTCCTTATCTTAGAGGAAAAGCTTGGAGTTTTTCTTTATTGAGTATGATGCTAGGGGGGGGGGGGGGTTGTCATATGCAGCCATATTATGTTAAGATGCTTTCCTTCCATAGCCATTTTTATTGAGTTTTCAATCATAATTGCATGTTGTATCCTGTCAAATGTTTTTTCTGCACCTATAGAGATTGTCATATGATTTATTTCATGTCTTATTAATGTGGTGTATCAGGTTCATTGATTTTTGGATGTTGAACCATCATTGCATCTCTGGAATGAATTCCACTTGGACATGGTGTATGATCCTTTTGCTGTATTGTTGTACTTGATTTACTAGTATTTTATTTAGGATTTTTGCATATACAGTATGTTCTTTAAAGATATTGGCCTGTAATTGTGTGTGTGTGTGTTGACCTTGCCTGTTCTAGTATCAGGGTAATGCTGGCCTCATAAAATAAGTTAGGAAGCACTCCCTCTTCAGTTTTTTGGGAAAAAGTTTGAGGAGAAGAGGTATTCAATCTTCTTTGAATGTTCGATAGACTTCACCAGCGAAGCCAGCTGATCCCGGAATTTTGTTTGTTGCCAGGTGTTTGATTTCTGTTTCCAGTTCCTTACGAGTGATCAGTTTGTTCAGGTTTTCCAGTTTTTCATGATTCAGTTTAGGAAGGTTGTTCATTTCTTATAGTTGGTTCAGTTTGTTGGCATATAATTGTTAGTAGCAGTCTCTTTGATGCGTTGTATTTCTGTGGTGTGTTTTAATATCTCTGGGTGTATTTCAGTTACTTAGGCTCTAAGCCAGTGGTTCTCAACCTTCTGGCCCTTTAAATGCATTTCCTCATGTTGTGACCCAACCATACAATTATTTTCGTTGCTACTTCATAACTGTAACGTTGCTACTGTTATCAATCGTCATATAAATATCTGATATGCAGGATGGTCTTAGGCGACCCCTGTGAAAGGGTCGTTCAACCGCCATAGGGGTCGCGACCCACAGGTTGAGAACCGCTGCTCTAATCTGTTATTTCCTTCCTTTACTAACTTCGGCTTAGCTTTTCCTTCTATTTCTAGTTCCTGGAGATGTAAAGTTAGGTTGTTTATTTGAGACTTTTCCTTTTCCCCCAAACATTTATTTAATGCTTTCTCTGTAAAAGCACATTGTTAATACGTAAAGAAAATGTCTTTATGCTCTAGCTGGTTTGGCTCAGTGGGTAGTGTCAGCCTGCGGACTGAAGGGTCCCGGGTTTGATTCCCAGTCAGGGCACATGCCCGGGTTGCGGGCTCGATCCCCAGTGTGGGGCCTCCTCCAGGAAGCCCTCTGTGCTGCTCTCTCTGAGCCCCAGCAGTACGTGCTCTGGCTCTGCCATGTTCACCGTGTCCCCTCCTCCTGTCACTCAGGGGTGGGCTCTGCAGCTGAGGGCGCCCCGTCATGCTCCCCACATCCGGGTTATGGACAGGAGGGGTCACTGTCAGGGCCGCCCTGAGGAGAATGGGCGATGACCTCGCCGTTTTTCTCAACAGGGAAGACCTGCGCGTTTCTGACTTCTGGAGCTCAGCGCTAGGTGAGTACCGCCCGCTGAGGCTGGGGGGTGGGGGTGGGAGGGGCCTGAATATGGGCAGGGAAAGGAATCCCACCCTCATTTGATGACATTTTGCTTTCAGGGTGGTGTACATGTGGGTTCTAATTGTGACTTCCGCCTTACAGCTGCGTGTTTTTGGCTCCTAACTAACTCTGACCCTAAGTTTCTTCATCTGTGAAATGGAGATGATAATGCATGTCCTGGAGTGTGATTTTGTCTATTAAGTGAGGCTGTTCAAGTGCTTAGAATGGTGCCTGCCTGCTGCACAGGAGACAGTGACTGTGAGCTGTGATTATCATTGTTGCTGAGATTGGTGTTATCTGGCTCTTTTTCCTTGAGATTACAATGTGGACACCCCCTCCCCCCCGCGGTTATACTCTCTTCCTAAACATTATGTGTGGGAACATAAATAATACATCGAGTGGACTTAACAGTAATAGTCTTACAGTAGTTACCATTTTTATTGGGGGGCATTTGCTTTGTTTCATTTGTTTTTTAATTATAAGTTTGCAGTGAGCACCTTTCTGCATTGAGCTTTTACCAAGTTTAAGTTGATGTTCTTGGGATATATTCCCAGAAAGGAAATTAGTGAAAGGCAGTGACCAACTTGATATCCACTGTCTGGTGGTTTTCCAAAAAGCTTTCCCCACTTCTTTCACAGCAAGGACTGAAAGGGTCCGTTTTTCATGCGACCTTTCCTTCTTGTGGGAATGGCTAGCTTGTTGCTTGTTATTTTGTTTTGCATCCAGATTTGTGCAAATAAATTCAGTACCAGTATCATAAAGGAGAGACCAGAGCACCCACCTCCATATGAGGTTTAAAGAGAGTAGTTTTTGTTAGACTCCAGAAGCCCCAGCCTACCTTTTTTAAAAAATATGTTTTTATTGCTCTTTAGAGAGAGAGGAGGTGAGAGGGATCGAGAAATAGAAACATCGATGAGAGAGAAACATCCTCGATAGGCTGCCTCCAGTACAGCCCCTACTGGGGATCGAGCCTGCAACCCCAGCATGTCCCTGGCTGGGAATCGAACCAGTGACCTCTTGGTTCATGGGTTGATGCCCAATCACTGAACCACACTTTTTTTACACATTAAATATTCTTACTCCCAGCCGTTTATAGTGTCATATTACGAGCTCTGCTCCTCGTTCTTTGTTATAATAAAAAAAAGTTGGAATTCCAAGGCATAACCGGAGTTTACCAGGGACCTCCTGTTAAACTAGAATGAGTTTACATTAGTATGTTAGATAGAAACTGTGCCCGTAAATGCAAACTATTTCTTCGCAAACCCTTCTCTGAGGTGGTAGGCTGCGGGGGTCCGGGGACCTGGACAGCCAGCCTGTCAGCTCCGGTGGACACGGCGGCGCGTCCCAGGATGCTGGGAGCAGAGCATCCCAGGGCTGCAGGCTCTAGGGTCCCCTCTCTGAGGAGGTGACGCTGCTGCCGGCCTGCTCCTTGCTCCCTGGCCTGTGGGCTGCTCTGGTGGCTGATGGGGTGCACAGGGTCACTCTGACTGCACTTGGGGGCCTGCTCTTTCAGAAACCATCAACACATGTCTTAAGAAACATCTTGAACAACTGGATGCCCCTGTGGGGGCTCTTTCGGAAGCCATTGGAAGCCTGCACCTAGACTCCTCACCAGATGACTCGGGGGTGGCTCCGGGCTCCATCCCGGGAGAGACCCTGGTCCCGGGGACCGGAGGGTGGAAGTGTGTGTGCTACGGCGTCGGGAACTTTGCCACCTGCGCCATCGCTAGAAGCCAGCTCGCGTTCTTGCTTCTCTTCCTGGAAAAGTGCCAGGTACATTTTGGACTCTCTTTACCGCGCCTCCCTTGGTCTTGCCCACGGCGTGCACACTGGCATTTGGTGGCAATAACTCCTTCCCTCCTGCAGATTCCCAGAAGCCACTGCTGGGTGTATGACCCTCTGTTTAGCCAACTGGAAATTGCAGTCCTTACCACCCTGGGGGTGACTGTCCTCGGTGAGAACGAGGTGAGTGGCTGAGGAAAGGGGAGCATGGAGCTAGGGGAACTGCTGACCCGTGGACCCCAGGTTCTGACCTGCGGATGCGATTTTTTTTTTTTTTTGAAACGGCAGTCCCTCCTCTCTGTTGCTTTCCCCGTGTCTGTGCATGTGACTAGTTACCCACGTTTTGACTGTTGTGCCCATCAGAGAAAAGTAAATTACACAAAAATGGCGTGAACCAGAACGTTAGGTTCATAAAATTTTCGACGAGTGTGTCCAGGAATTATGCTAGATTGGTATTTACTGTTGTTATAGAAATATTAAAAGGACACACAATCTCAGTGCCTCAAATGTGGGTTTTCTGGTTGGACTTGACCCTATGCCCAGGGAGGCAATAAAAGGGGACAGAACGGCTCCCCTCTTTGGAGCTGTAGTCAGCCATTCCCACGGGACCTGGCTGAGCTGTGGATGAAGCTTCTGTCCCCCTGGCACCCCCTAAAATCGTTGCGGTTCGAAAGTTCTTGAGGCCTGGAAAAATGAAATTTCCCACTCGAGGCAAATACCTCTGAGTTTCGTTTTGTATTGTTTGGGGGTTATAAAATAATCATTTGATTCCTCTCTGTTTTGAGAAACTGCCATTTCATTGCTTACGATGAAAATGAGGCCCAGCTGAAACAGGGACTCGTTTGCCGATGTTGGCAAGCTCCTAAAACACAGCCACTTAATACAGATCAGCTTTTCTGAGCGCCTGCTCTGCTGGGCAAGGAGCTCTGGGAGGCGCGACAAACAGGAGCCAGTCCCTGTCTTCAGGGAGCAGCCTGCAGACAAGTAAATGAAGAGTCAGACAGGCAGGCAGACCCGCGTGCTAGGAACTGAGATCGGAAGGAGACCCGTTCTCTTTGGGGGATGGTGGGAGCTTCCTGGGCCTTGAGCTGGGATTTGCTGGTCAGCCAGGAGTTTGCTGGGGGACAGGCCCAGGGCTGCAGGCAGGAGTTTGCTGGGGGGACAGGCCCAGGGCTGCAGGCAGCCTGTGCAGAGCTGGCTGTTCAGGAACCGCTGCCCGTTAGGAACAGAAGGGAAGCTGCAAGGAGAGTGGAGAGGAGGCTCAGAGGTAGCAGGGGCCAGACAGCAAGCCGCTGGCCTTGTGTTTCCTGCCAGGAGTTTGGCTGTGGAGCAATAGCTCTCAAGAGGGGGCATCTGAAAAGGGCGCAGTTGTGATAGGGACCTGCAGAAAGTGACCCAGGAAACATGGGACCACCAGACAGCATGGGGGACAGTCACTATTGCCACCCTCACACCCCTGCTCTCATGGACCCAAGAGGCCCTGTTGAGCCAGAGCGCTCTGTTCGTGGGACACACACTGTTAATTTCATTCTTCCGTTCGCTTTCCTCTCAGCTCTCTCTTTCCTGAGCTGTGTTGCTATAACTGACATACAGCATTTTAAGTTTAAGGTGCACAGTGTATACTGCAAGATGACGACACAGTAAGGTTAGCTAACACCTCCATCACGTAACCACGTTTCTGTGTGTGGTGAGGATCCTCAGCTTGTTAGTCTGTCCTGGTGTCTCCCTCCTGTGTGAGAAGTGGTTCCATCTGGGCGTTTCCCCAGGAAGGGAAGCGGAGTGTGCGCGGCCAGCCCACCGTCTTTTACATGCTGCACTGCGGGACGGCCCTGTACAACAACCTCCTGTGGAGCAACTGGTCAGCGGATGCCCTTTCCAAGATGGTCATCATCGGGAACAGCTTCCGAGGCCTGGAGGAAAGGTAAGCCGAGATCCGCCAGGCCCCGGGGTGGCCCCGTCCTCAGTGACCCGCAAGCACAACACGTTTCCATGGCTGGTCCTTGGAAAAGGACCAAGAAACTGGACAGAGGGCCAGAGAAGCTGTCACCCTGAGTCAAGCTGTGAAGCAAGCGAAGGAGTCTTTGACAGGGGCCCCTCCCTTCCCTTAGGCTGGCAGGACTTAATGGGAGGGGCCACTGGGTTTCTAAGTCGCCCTCCTCCTGTTCCCTTGAGGAAGTGGGTGCAGATACTGGGACGTTCACATTTCCTGCGGGATACCTTCTCTACACCCCGTTTTTACATTCTTACCATATTGAAGTCACCTTGCCTTGCTGTATGCCTTCAGCTGGATAAAACCACTCGTACCTCCTAATCCTGCTTTAAAAACCTTTTTATTTATAGGTTGTTGACAAAGATTCTGCAGAAAAACTATGCCTATGTTGCAAAGGTATCTGTCTGACTGAGGGGGGGACGGGGACGGGGGACGGGGACGGGGGACGGGGTGTGCGTCTCCGCCACTGAGGAGTCTGCCCTTACATGTGCAGGCGGGGCTGGTGGGGGCTCACCGTGCCTATCGAGGGTACATGCTTGACTTGGAATTTTCTGCTCAGGTTTTAGAAGGACTGGAGGAGCAGGCGTTTCCCCAGACGGCACAGTACTCGGACGGGTTTAATGACACCTCTGTGCACTGGTTCCCAGTCCAGAAGCTAAAAGCAGCTCCCCACGACACGTGGGGCATCTCGGGAAGAGCCGGATTACCGGGACTGCGAGGACCTCGAGATCATCAGGAACCAGGCAGGTGCCTCAGCTACCGGCCCCAACGGGCTGTGATGTAGGAAGTGCTGGCGGAGGCAGCAGCCCCCCCGGGACTGGGGGGTGGCCATGACCATGGGGGGGCTGGGGGGACTCTGTCCTCCCAGGGCCAGTTCCGGAGAGAACAGGAAGCCCTCAGCCTGGCTCTCGAGGGAAGAGGAGATGTGCTGTGGAAGGACTTGGTGTAAAGTTCCATGCGCTCCCTCACATCCCTTATCGCACTCCACAGCCTTCCTCGGGGGCCTGGCTGGTGGGGAGAACCTACTGACTAGAGAAGTGACTCTTTCAAAGATGGTTCAAAAGATTTAGTCAGAAATGTGTGCAGCTGCCCCGGGCCACCGCCTACTTGGCCATGTCGATGAGGCTCTGCAGGGAGGTGGGCACCCAGGTCTTCTCGCCCTGGACGAACACCACTCCCCGGTCGATGTAGATGACGATGCGGCCGAAGGTGTAGAGCTGCTTCCCTTCATGTCGCTTCCCGATGACAGGCATGAAGACGATGTTGTGCTCCTCGGCCTTGGTCTCAATGAGGTCCTTAAAGTTCATGGGCACGGAGCTGGCGGCCACGCCGATGCCCCTCTGGGCCATGTTCTCGGCCTCCCGCCGCTCCTGCATGGCCTCGTACTGGAAGTCCTTCCTCCGCTCCGTGTGGGTGAGGTAGGCGATGTTTTCTCGTGCTCCGGGCTGCATGTAGGCACCTGGGAGACAGGGCAGGGGGTGAGGAGAGGCGTCCGATACGCACAGAATCTAGGCTGTGATGGGGCTGAAGTCCGGATATACCCCAGGCTCCATCTCCTAAACCTACTGTTACTCACTGAGCAGCAGCTGTGCCTCAGACACAAAACACTAAGATGGCCCAGCACCTGCACACCTGGCTGCGATCACGTAAGAATTGGGCTGGAGATTTCTGGCGAATTCCTAGTGGCCAGATTCTGTTCCCATCTTGCCTGGGAGTTTTCACTCCACACTGCCAAAGAGGCAGCTGGCAGAACCCTGAAAACACAGGCCTGAGCAATAGGGGAATAGATATTAAATGAACAGTCAACTGCCCACTTTTGGCACAGCAGACACCTACCACTCCCAGTAACTCAACCGCTCTAGGTTTTTAGTAAAACCTACAAGGTAGGTGTTACACGTTACTGTTTTACAGGTAAAGAATATGGTCTTAGCGGTTGCCACCAGTGGTCCACGATCCGAAAGGTTGGTGACCGCTGGTCTAAGAGGTTAAGCAACTAAGAGTCAGACTGTGCCCTGACTCTACACTGTGAGCTTACACTTAAGTAGCACACCCAGCACTGGCTGAGCAGGCGCACAAATGAACCTTAAAGGGCACACAGCACCGTGGGTATGAAGGTAGGCCCTGGAGGTAGACCCAGGGTGAATCTGCTTAAATCTGTCTCCATTCAGAGAGAGGCGCCCCTCCCAGTCGCAGGAGAGCTGGTGGCTGAGTCAGGTCTGCTGGAGTGGAGGGTGAGTTACACTGTAGTCAGCCCCCAGGGACCTGAAGACTCTGTTCTGTCTCTTACATGTGCAGAAACACGGAGCCCAGGGCCAGGACATTCCTCACAGAGCCCCCACTCACCGACGTTCGAGGACACCGCCCTGTTCATGATGTCCAGCGCTTCGTTGAATTTGTCCTTGATGGACGGGTGCGCCAGCACTTGGTCTGAGAACATGGACTTCCAGCCCAGGTACCACTTGGTGATCTCCTCGTAATTGGGGCTGTTACTGAGCCAGGAGCACAGCACCTGCCAGAAACGAACGAGTAAGAAACTTGCATCCAAAGTGGCAACAAAAGGGAGCCAAACATTTAAAGGGGCCCTTTGCTGTTTTACTCCTGGTCCTACAAGCTGGTGCCGCTGATGGGGCTGAAAGCCAGGCCCTCAGGAGTGTGGGATGTGGAGGCAGCTTGATAGCTCAGTGCCTTGCGGGTAAACTGAGCCTCCGCCTCCTGTGTAGACAACAGGGATGTCAGTCCCTACCCCAAAATAATGCAAATAAAGTGCTCAGAGCATCTGGCACATGGTATTGCTTCACTCGTTCCTGTCCGGCCATGTAGCTCATTTCTGTTATGCAGTCACAGCACTGCCATCCAACAGCCACCCAAGAATTAAGCGAGCCTCCCCTGCCTCCCCCCAACCCCAGGAAGCAAAACACGGCACCTGAAGCCACTTGGGGAAGAAGTGCTTTTCCAGGAGCCCCACCAGGCTGGAGACGGAGATCATCCCTTCCCAGTCGATGACCCAGTAGAAGGCGTCCATGTGCTGCTGGTGGGGGTTGATGACCAGCTCCCCGAGGCACATGCCTGCAAGGGAAAGCCAGGCTCAGAGAAGCTCCGCCTGAGGGGCTAGTGTGTGGTTGGCCTTTAAAGGTCATTTTCTTCTCTAGCCCAGAATCAGATCCCATGACAATTCCAGGACCCGATGGCTATCCTGTTGCCAGAAGCCTAGACCAGTCTGACATGGTCACCACCGCCTTAAGGGCCCTGGCTTCATTTATATTCAGCCTCAGTGCACAGAAGCGGCACCTCTTTTACGGTGAGAAGCCCATGTGCTAATGTGGCTCCAAGGCCTTGTTCTGAGAAGCACAACCACTAAACTGGCCCGGAGAAATCAAGGCCAAAGCTGCTGGCCTGGATGCTTCCCCACGTCCTTACCCAGCTTGGGCACGATGTTCTTGACCATGAAGGCCTCCCAGGAGCCAGGGGTGAAGACGTCTTTCCAGGGCTGGAGGATGAGCTTGGCAGAGGAGTCGCTGGGGTGCCACTTCTGCAGGGCGCTGGACAGCTTGCTGCGGATGGGGGAGTACAGCGGCTCCAGGCGCGCCTGCATGAGGGGCAGCCACGGGTGGATCCAGGAGTGGATGGGCACGGTGTCCGTGAGTGGGTTCCAGTTCTCCACCTGCAGGGAGTGGGGGAAACAGCGACGTTCACGCAGCCTGTGGGGGATCAAACGATGCCCTGGGGGTTAATGGCGAGGACGCCAGGTGCTCTCTTGGCCAAGGTCCAGCCCTTTGCGTGTGTGTGGGACACATCTGGTACTAAGGCAGCCAAATAAAAATATTCCCAAGCAATTGTATTACAGCTCAGAAATGGCAGCTTTCACTTTAAGAAACCAAGTTAATCCCCTGTTAATGGGGGCTGTGGGGAGACATGCGCTGCTACAACGGCTGGAGTTACCAGGGCAGCAGCTGTGCTGACGCTTCTGTTAACTGCAGGTGCTCTAGCAGCACTGGCTCCCCATGAGGGCTTTCCCGGGCTCCGGGCCTACCTCCTTCTGCAGCTTGGGGAAGATGAGCTGGTCCAGGATGTTGTCCAGCACCCACACGGGGATGATGTGCACCCAGCTATCCAGGAAGTCCACCATGGGCTCACAGTTCCGGGGTTGCCACTGGGTGACGATATTTCGAACAAAAGGCATCCAGACTTCCCATATCAGCCTGTGGGAGAGACAGAGGGCAGGTTGCTAACGGCACCGTCTGGTTCACGGTGTGCAAGGTGCACCACACCCGCTTCTCTAGAGTAAGAAAGGGCAGCGGCATGGACATCGGGCAGAGAACCGCCAGGCCAGGCCCCACGCTGGCCACACCTGCGCCTGCCGCCTCTTTCCTGGCTGCTCACCCAGCCTCGGGACCTTATTATTGGCAGCACCTACTGGCAGGGTTGCTGCGGGGTCACACAGGCTCATGGACCCCACACACAGCCCCTCACAAGATGTCTCGTGCTTTTCCACCCAGAGCTCTGCACAGCAGACACCTCACCCTTTGGTTACAGATTAAATGTCCCCCCGAGCCTCTGCCTCAAACCTCCCCCCAGAGGCATACACCTTCCTTATCCTCTGCCACTGGGTGTATGTGTTCACTCCTTATCCACTATCTGCCTTTTCCAGTTGCCACAGGAACTGTAAGGCTGGCTGCTTTACTCCCAGGGTAAGCCTGGCACACGCGTGACCCTCAGTAGACACTGGACAAGTGTCAGGTGAAGTAATGAACGAGGACCGCAATCCCCAGCAGTGCCAGCGTGGGGCAGAAAGCGTGGCGCTCCCCCTCCCCGCCCCCCGAGCTCCCCCCCAGCAGGTAGCAGCCTGTCCCCGTCCTCTGCCGGCTGACCTGTGAAAGGCGTCTGCCGAGAGGTCCTGGCCGCCGTGCGACAGGAGCTGGTCGTTCTCCAGGAGGCTCTTCCACTTGGAGATGATCTCGGTGCCGTAGGTGCAGTCCTGGGGGGAGGAGAGCACCTGAGAGGCTGCCTCTGGCAGCTCCCCCCGCCCCCCCCCCCAACAGTGTCGGGGCCGACTTCCCCGACCACTCACTTTGAGGGGGTCCCACTCCTTGAAGTACTCCTTCATGAGCGGGTAGACGATGGCCACGGCCAGGTCCACGCGGTCGGACATGCGGTACTCCTCGTAGTACTTGTCCTGCAGGGTCTCGAAGATGCGGGCGCACTCGTCCAGGGTGAGCGGGTGGCTGCAGCCGGGCTGCATGCGCCGCTCGCACTCCTCCACCAGCTCCAGCACTTTGCTGAGGTTGGAGATGGCCCGCTCCTCGTGGTCCAGCACCTCCGACATCTTCTCCAGCTCGTGCGAGAGGTTCACCACCATGTCCCGCTCGTACTGCAGCTGCCGGTCGTTCTGGATGATCTCCTGCTCCGTGAGGTCGATGAGCAGCTGCAGGTTGTGCTCCAGCTCCGGCAGCGCAAAGCCCGGGGCCTTGGCCTCCTTGCCGGACAGCGGCAGCTGCTGGGACTGCGGCGGCAGCCCGTCGTCGGGGATGTTGTGCTTGTGGCTGATCTGGCTGTAGCTGTAGTAGACCTTCTGCTCCCGGCCCGTCATGTCTATGACCTTGGAGAGGGCAGAGGGACAGGTTAGCACTTGCCACTGCTGCCTATGAAGCTGACACAAGGCCGGGAAGACACGCTGTGAGGGGAAAGGCGTAGAGCCCGCTATTGAGCACAGCTGTGGGCGCAGTGGGCCTGTGCCGCCCTAGCTGCGAGGGGAAGTGACGTGTGTAAAATGTCATCTGTTCTCAAAAGGACACATTCAATGCTGCTCTGCCCCGAGGACTGTCCTGCGCCCTAACCTGAACCCTTCCCGGTGTTAAGAGCCTTAAAGACCGGCCTGTTCTTTACCTGATTGTACTCTGAGAATCTATCCTTAAAAATGAAACAAAGACACGGCTTTATGTGCACACCAGCTTGTCTAAAAGCCAGGAAACAGCTACAGGTCTAGCAGTAAGGGGACCAGTCACGGCACAGCCATCTCTGGACTGTGCACGCAGTGAAGAGACGCCACACGGAGTCTGACCCTTCACTGCTGTGAGCTTCAGCAGAGGCAGGTGTGCGGCTCACACATGGACCCCATGGGAGTGCCGGGCACACGGCAGGAACCAGGTGACTTACTGACCGTGTGAGGATAGGGAAGGGACAGGCTGCTATCCAGCAAGAAAAGCAGGATGAACAAAAACCAAACCCGGCCGGGAGCCCGGAAGGGGCCTCAGGAGCCCCGGCGCTGGCCTCTGGCTGTGGTGTCCTTGTTCTCAGCGCCCCCTCCTGGCCCGGAGTCCGAGGCCACGTACCTTGACCTGCGAAAGCTCCTTCTGGGGAGCCGTGAGCTTCTTGCTGGTCCTGCCCTTGGCCTTCAGCTCCTCCACCGTCTTGTAGGAGT